TAAAGTAAGTAATTCAATTTGATTTTGATTTTCAAATTGAATATTATTAGTTATCTAATTAAGTTTTTGTGTATTATAACTTATATCAAATGAACCTTTAATATTATTATATAAATATCTTATAATAGATAATTCTTCAATATTATTTAGATTTAAAATGAGCAATTTCTAAATAATTTATTATTTATAATTGCTGATGCTGAACTTGTATTAATAATTGGTTTTGCTACACATATTATCATATGATTTACAGTACTAAGTAATATTGTATTTGGTCTACATGTTCTATGAATATCATGAAAATCATTAATATTAAAACAATAAAAAATATTTGACTAAAAAAATAATTATTTTAATTAATAAATTTAAAAAATTAAATATAATAAAAATTAAATTATTATAACTTACATTTAAATTAAAATATTTATTAAGTTTTGTTAAATGAGTTTTTACAATTTCTTTTTTATATCTTTGAAGTGTTTTTGTATAAACACTAAGTTCAATATTTGATAAAGTATTAATTCCAGAATTAGTTAGCCCTGATGACTATAAATAAAGTCCAAGATCTAATTTAAAATTATTAGCAAATTTGTTTCTTATTCCAACTAATAGATAACAATATACAACTATTTGTTTTTTTGCTTTTTCTATATTCTTATTAAGTCTTTTTTTTGGAATTAATACATTTGTTATTTTATTAAAAAATCCTTTTAATTTTGGTTCATTTGATTTAATCATTTGTTGAAATTGTTCAGGATCTAATAAATATTCATTATGATTTTGTTGATATTTTAATAAAACAGTTGTTAATAATTCTAATTGTTGAGAAAATGAATAATTTTGATCTTTAAAAAAATTAGTTAATATTTAAAATAATATTAAAATCAAAATAATATTAAAATTAAAATAATTATAATATAATAATTACCTAAATTATTTGAGCCAATTATTGTTAAATTATTTTGATTAGTTAAAGTTTCTATTTTTAAATCTTTTTGAATAATTAATTTAATTAATTGATTAAAATTTTCTTTATCTATTGAGACTATATCATCAGTTATATTAACTTTAATATCTATAAATTGTTGA